GCCAACAAATTCGACAACCAAGAAGGAATGAACAAGTTTCTAAAACATTACAGCCTGCCAAAACTGAATAAAAGATACAGATATTTTGAAAAGACCAATCACGAGAAGTGAAACAGAATCAGTAATTAAAAAAAAAAACTCCATATAAACGAAAACCCAGGACCTGACAGCTTTACTAGGAAATTCTACCGAATATACAATGAGGAACTTAAACTTATCCTTCTCAAAGTCTCCCGAGAGACTGAAAAGAAGGGAACACTCCCAAATTCATTCTATGAAGGCCACCATCACCCTGATACCAAAACCAGACAAAGACACTACCAAAAAAAAGAAAATTCAGTGCAACATCTTTGATAAATATAGATACAAAAGTCCTCAGCAAAATATTAGCAAATCAAACCCAACAATACATAAAAAAGATTATACACCATGATCAGGTTGGATTTATCCTAAAGTGACAAGGATAGTTCAATATATGCAAATAAATTAGTGTCATACACAACACTGACAAAAGGAAAGTAAAAACTCACATGATTATCTCAAAAGATGCATAAAAAGCATTTGACAAACTTCAGTATCCTTTCATGATAAAAAACTCTCACCAAAGTGTGTATGGAGGGAATGTATCTCAATATAATAAAATCTATTTATGACAAACCACAGTCTACAACATACTCAATGATGAAAAGAACGTTTTTCCACTAAGTTCTGAATAAGAAAAGGATGTCCATTCTTACCATCTTTTTCCTAATCAGTACACATCCAGAATTTATTCTAATACATTGTGAAGAACTTGGGTCAAAGAAGAAAAACATATTATCATTTCATAATCACAGAAGATTTAATCCTGCTCATATTTAAAGAAATGTAATAACTCTACACAACAGTGCTCTGTGTATTTGCCCGACTCCAAAGACCAAGCTTTTACATTCTATCACCTTGCCTCTAGTAAGCAACGTAAAACCACTGCTGAAGGTGGTGACTACGACTATATGTTCTATAGTTCTTGCTCAAATGCTCAGTCATGTCTGACTCCTTGTGACCTATGAACTATAGCTTGGCAGGCTCCTCTGTCTATGAGAGTCTCCCAGCAAGAAAACTAGAGTGGAGTGCCATTTCCTTCTCCAGGCGATCTCCTCAACCCAGGAATCGAACCTGTGTCTCTTACATCTCTGGCACTGGCAGGTGGATTCTTTACCACTAGCACCACCTGGGAAGCCCCCAAAGGAGAAAAACATATTACTGTATCATAAAATAATCACAAGATTTAACCCTGTTTATATTTAAAGGAATGTAATAATTCTATACAACAGTGCTATGTGTACTTGGTTTTTCTTCAAGGAATGAAAGCTAAGGATTGTGCTTCTTATATACTTATTTATTATTTTATATAGGAGTATGGGCTTCCCCGGTGGCTCAGATGGTGTAGAATCTGCCTGCAAGGTGGGAGACGTGGGTTCCATCCCTGGGTCAGGAAGATCCCCTGGAGAAGGGAATGGCAATGCACTCCAGTGTTCTTGCTTGGAGAATCCCATGGACAGATGAGCCTGGTGGGCTATAGTCCATGGAGTCGCAAAGAATCAGATATGACAGAACTACTAACACTTTCACATAGGAGTATAGTTCATTAACAATGTTGTTAGTTTCAGATATACAGTGATGTGATTCAGTTATACATATACATGTAGCTATTCTTTTTCAAATTCTTTTCCCATTTAGGTTGTTACAGATAATTGAGCAGAGTTCCCTGTGCTATTCAGTAGGTCCTCGTTGATTATCTATTTTAAATATAGCAGTGTATACACATCAGTCCCAAACTTCCAATCTACCCCCCTCACCCTTCCTCCCTGATATCCATAAGTTCATTCTCTGAGTTTGAGAGTGTTTGTTTTATAAGTGGTTCATTTGAATTGTTTTTTTAGTTCTGCATATAAGCAATATCATATGATATCTGTGATATTTATTAAAACAAAGAAATAATACCATTTACAGCAAGCAGCATGGATGGACCTGGAGATAATCATACTAAATGAAGTAAGTTACGCAGAGTAAGACAAATAGCTCACCATTTCTATTCAACATAGTTTTGACAGTCCTAGTTACAGTAATCAGACAAGAAAAGAAATGAAACATATCCAAATGGGAATTGAAGAGATGAAGTTATCATTTTGCATAGATGACATGATACATGATATATGGAAAACCCCAAACATTCTACATAAAAACCATCAGAATAAATAAATTCAGTAAGATAGCCAGGCTACAAGATTAATATACATAAATCCGTTGTATTTTTTTACTCTAACAATAAAATATCAGAGGGGGAAAGTAAACAAATTCATTTAAAATCATATAAAAAAAAATCCTAGGAAGAAACCTAAGGAGGTAAAAGACCTAAATGCTAAGAACTATAAAACATTGATAAAGGAAATTGAAGATGATTCAAAGAAAGGGTAAGATATCACATGCTCTTGAGTTTGAAGAATTAATATTATTAAAATGGTGATATTATCCAAGGCAATCTTCAAATTTGATGCAATCTCTATCAAATTACTAATGACATTTTTTCACAGAACTAGAACAAATAATCCTAAAATTTATAAGGAACCACAAAAAAACTGCCAAAGCCATCCTGAGGATAAAGAAGAAAGCTGGAAGCATAACTCTCCCAGACTTCAGATAATACCACAGAGCTGCAGTAGAGCCCAGAAATAAAACCACACACCTACTGTCAGTTAATCTTGACAAAGGAGGCAAGAACAGAAGAAAAAAAAGACTCACAGATGTAGGAAAAAACCATGTTTACCAGAGGGGAAAGGGTGTTGAGGAGAAATAAATTAGGAGTATGAAACTGATACAAACCACTATATATAAAATAGATAAGCAATAGAGACTTACTGTACAGCACAGGGAACTATATGCAATATCTTGCATATTCACCTATAATGTGAAAATAATCTGAAAAAAAAATATATAACTCAGTTTGCTATACACCTGAAACTAACACTGTAAGTCAACTATACTTCAATTAAAAAAAATAGAGGTTAATACTATGCCCCACTGGTAAGCACTCTGCAACAATGAATATCTCAAGGCAGACATTCCAGTACTGGATCATTCAGTAGACATATCATCTGAACAGCAACAACAACAACGAAAATAAATGCACTCTATCTTCTATATACTTCCTTAAACTTATCTCATTTCTTTTCTCCTCTCCAGAATAAAAAATAATAATAAAATGCTCCTTGCAGGACAAGTTTTCATCTTTCAATAACACCTTAAGGACTATGATCAAAAACTATTCAATACATTTCCAAACTCTGCCTTCTCTCCTTAGGTTCCCAGTGCTACCAACACTTTACAAGTACTGCCTTACCCTGTCTAATCTGCCATTTTCTACAGCAGCACGTTAAATACAGTAACCGTCAGCCACATGTGACTATTTAAGCAAATTAAAAATCCAGTTCCTTAGTCACACTAGCCACATTTCAAGAATTTTACAGCCACGTGTAGCTAGTGGATAATGTACTGGATGGTGAAAATACAGGACCTTCACAGAAAGTTTTACTGGACAGCACTGTATCTAGAGTCTGGAAAAAACTTTACTTGTTTACTAGACTTCAATTCTTAATACTTGCTTCATCACTAAGTACTTCTGTAGCTTAATGAAATTGTTTAAGAAAAAAAATGACAAGAACTTCTGGTTCTTGTTATTTCATATGTAATAAAGCACTTGCTACTACATTACAAATCTTTAAAAATATATATTAACAATTATATTTCAAATTAGTTTGTTTTCTTTATAAAGCTATACATTTTGTTTTGCTCAAAGGGGTCTTAGGCTTTATGAGACTGAAGAAGAGTCCACAGCACAAGAGAAGTTAAGAATCTTGAATTAGAGTGGACCAAGGAAATATTTCTGGCTTTTTGGGCCATAAGTCTCTGTTATGACTTCTCAGCTCCGCCATTGTAGTGCAAAAGCAGCCACAGACAATACACAATTGAATGAGCAAGGCTTTAATAAAACTTTATTCACAAAAGCAGACAGTGGGCCAGATTTGGCAAACAAGTGGTAATTTGCCAACCCTTGAATGGAATTATCTTTCTAAGACACAAAATGGTCATGTCATCTATTTGCATAAAGTTTTCAGTAGTTTCCTCAAAACCCTGGATTATCTGACTTCAACCTGTACCTTACTTTCTTTTTCTTCTTCTTTCTTAAACCTTAACCAAGCATTTTCAGCCCAAGAACTACTTTTTAGCTCTCTGCACATTATTCTGGTTATCTTCCCTAGGTTTTTATATAATGCTGCATCCTGTACCTGAAACATCCTCATAGACAAATTCTTACCATCTTTCAGACACTGAAAGATGGCATGAATCACTCAGTAGAGCACAATGGTTAAGAATTCAGACTCTGAGGCAGCCAGGGCCCAGAGTAGTTCAATATCCTTTTAGACTAACTCAGTTATTTAGAAGCAGAGCGAGGAGTGGAACTCAGCTCTCTATCATTAATTTCTTCAGCATTTATAGATCATTAACTTTGCTCAGGTAAACATTATGCTGAACCTGAGATGTATAAGGCAAGATCCCTTCCCTAGCCCCAAACTGCTCAGCTAATGCCACATGCAACACAGTTAATCTCTGTTAAGCTCTGCCCAAATTCCTGACCCACAAAATTGTGGGACATAATAAAACAACTGCTATTATAAAATAAAATAAGTAAATAAATCTGAAACAAAACAACAAAAAAAGGATATAGGCTCTGCAGCAGATTCCCTAGGTTGGAATCCTAGTGCTGCCTCTTATAAGCTCATCTGACCTTGGGCATGTTATGTAATGGAAATGACAGCCAATTTTGGCCCCTTGACAATCATTAGTAATAACTTACTTGCCCCATACTTCACTAGAGTTTTATCAAAAACAGGAATCACTGGTATAGAAAAATACTAATATTAGAAGTAAAATTCTTAACCAAAATTACAAAAATTACTGACCTACTGATGAAAACTCGTCCTCCAGGGTCCTAGAGCCGTTGGGAGATGAACTCTGATCATCTTTACTTTCTGAAGAATGGTGTGCTCCATCCTCTTCGTCGGCTGAAAGATCAACCATTCTGGATTCTAACAGGACATTTTTTGAATATAACAAGAAAGATTCAGGATGCTGGAATCAATAACTGAAATTCTACACAACACATAGCATATATAAAATACGGTGTTTTAATTTTACTTCACACATTTAAAGTAGATATGCGGACCTTTCTTTAACTTCCTTTCTTTCTGAAATCAACAGTCTATAAATATGCAACAATATATTCTATTTGCATTATCTACTTAACTAGTGAAATAACATGAAATACATACTATTAAAAAAATGCAACAAAAAGAGGGAAGGGAAAAAACAAAAAGAGAAAAAAGTAAATGACAAAAAAATGAAGGAATATTTAAAAGAGAAAAGACTAACAGTGGTAGTAAATAAGCAGATAAAGAAAAGAACACTTAACGTATACTTGCTATGTGCTAGGCATACTGAAGTCTGTTTTACAAAATATACTTCATTTAATTCTCACAATTCAATAAAGTAAATGCTATTACTGATGAGGACACTGGGGACTGAAAAGGCTAAATAACATGTCCAGTATCACAAAGTTACTAAACAGAGAAATCAAACTCTTGGATGTAGGCTGGTGGTAAGAGGTACTATAACGGGCACTGCAGGCTCAAACTAAATCATGGATCTATTTCCACTGTGTGATTCTGGAAAGGACACAGTCAATTAATCAATAAACAAAGACAGTATTAAGAGAGAACACCCCACAGAAGTGTTATCAGGACTGAATGAGCAAAACGTAAAGGAATTCATGGTATTATTGACAAAAAAGGACTTGTTGGTTCACAGTTATTTCGTGGTATTTGTGAACAACCTTGAGATTTAAGATTGCATAAATAATGACTCTATCTTAAAAATGTTCCTGAGGGATTTCCCTGGCAGCCCAGTGGCTAAGACTGAGCCTTCCAATGAAGGGAGTGCAGGTTTGAACCCTGCGCAGGGAACGAAGATGCTACCAACCATGCATGGGTAAAAGATCCACTCAGAGTGCAGAACACACGGGTGGATTTTAATCTAATCGAGCATAACGAAATGATATGGTTTCAGCTTCCACATGTCACGTAGAAATTGGCACTTGCCTTCTGCCTGTACAAGGATTAAATCACAAACTGCTATAGTTACTGATCTTCAACACATCCTGAAAGGAGTTCACGGTAGAGATCAGGAATGAGGCACTCTCTGCTTTGGGAAAACTGGCAGGACAGGCTTTCAAACAGGTATTTTCAGGAGATTTTATGAGCCTAGTTCTTGCATCCCCTCACATCTAGAAAAGCACTAAAATCATTAATGGTGACATTTGTTCCTCATAACTAGCAGCAAGCTTCTGCTAAAATGTGTTTTTGACTGCACAACTCCTCTTCACTACAATCATATATAATACTGACCTCATCCCTACATCTCTGGAGCAGTTTCTCAGAGCTATATGAAATGCTGTCTCCTGGGCTACAGTTTTCATTTTGCCCCAAACAAAACTTAACTCACAACTCTTACATTGTGTGTTTTTTTCAGTTGACATCCATTGCAAACTAAACTTTGAAAACCTATTACCTTTTGAGCTTCATTGTAATTCTAAAGTAGAATACTCTCAAAGAACTAAAAAGGCTATTAAATACTCTTAATCACCTATCTGTGGTTTTCTTCACATGTTCAAACAAAACAATATATTTCAACAGACTGAATGCAGGACAGCTTTCAGAATTCAGCTGTCTTCTGATAAGCCAGCCATTAAAGACATTTGTAAACTGAAAACAATGTCATTCTTACTATTTTTTGGAAAACAGTTATTTTTCTTAAAAATGTTTATTACCCTTACATGTAATGAGTTAACTTTAAAAAAGAATAAAAATGTATCTTAATTTCTAATATGGTAAACCTTATAGGGGCTTCCTCTCTGATGGCTCAGTGATAAAGAATCCTCAGCCAAAGCAGGAGACTCAGGCTTGATCCCTGGATCGGGAAGATGCCCTGGAGGAAACGGCAACCCACTCCAGCATTCTTGCCTGGAGAATCCCATGGACACATAAGCCTGAAAGGCTATATAGTCCTTGGGATCACAAAAGAGTCAGACATGACTTAGCAACTGAACAACAATAAACATTATAGATACAATCCACAGAAACAAAGGTTCTTTGGGATCTTTAATTATTCTTCAAGAGCATAAAGGGTAAACTTTAAGACCGAAAGGGTAAGAACAAAAAGTTTGAGATCCAAAGTTTAACCAAATGACTTACATAAAGCACAAAAATATTTTAAAAAATCAAGAAAACATCAGACAAACAGGTGATTATTAACAATGACTAAGAAATCAACAAAATCACTTGGACTAAAAATACTGGGGTGAAAATATTCCTACCTCAAGACTATATAACCAAAAATTATACATATATATATATAGTTTTTTTTTACAGATACTTTGAGATTATACCATCTTGAAAATAATTTTTAAAAAAACATGTAACATATTAGCAACATAGGTTTGTTTTCCACATGGTATTTCATCCTGTGACAAATCAGAAATGTTCAATTATCATTCTACTGGTGACATTATCCACAGGTGACAAACTGGATTTTCTACTCATATTAACAGGGCAGGGATTAACCTCAATTCATTAAACCTGGGTGTTATGTATTCTAGAGTGCCATGGATTGCATACAAAGTAGGTAAAAAGTGCCATTTACCTGGAGAAGTTGATTGCTTCTAGAGACTTTACTACTAAGTTCACGATGGAATATTTTTAGAAGTTTCTTTTAGACTGAAATATAATCTCAAATATTTTTATGTGTGTCTGAGTCTGAAGTTAATGTATTTATACTTCAAAACACCACGTAACAAGTTCCTTCCAAGTCTGTTTCTGTGTTTTTATTTCTTTCTCTAACTATATAGCTTTATTTCTAACTATATTCGTATTTAACTCCAATTCAAACTAGAACACATCTCATGTAAACAACTTTATGCTGCCTGAATCCTATTTTCAAGAAGGCAAAGGTACTTCAAAATTGCTGCATTGCATTTAACTTTATTGGTAGTCTACAGCGTCACCAGTCAGTGAAAGTCGCACAGTCGTGTCCCACTCTTTACAACCCCATGACTCCATGGAATTCTCCAGGCCAGAATACTGGAGTGGGTAGCCTTTCCCTTCTCCAGGAGATCTTCCCAACCCAGGGATCTAACTCAGGTCTCCCGCATTGCACACGGATTCTTTACCAGCTGAACCACAAGGGAAGCCCAATCTACTGTTTGTGACACATTGCTACGCTTATCTTTTCTTTAAATAGTCGATTAAAAAAAAAAAAAAAGCCCCGAAGTCTGTCACCTAAGTTTTCCCAGCGTACTGGTTTGGTTAAGTGTTTTCGAGAAAAAGAAATGGGGGCAGAAAGCACTTCCGCCTACCTAAGAGTATTAGGAATTTTAAAACTCTTGGGTGACAATTTAGGTTCTCCGTAAGCATCAAAAAGCAGTCACTGGTGAGGGCTCAGTTGACGATGCAAACACAAGCCCAAACCGCGCAGAGTTCTTTCTACGCCCCCAAGCGGCCCAATGTGGACATGCAGGCAGCGGGCCAGTGTTCACAGGCACGCATCTCCGCGATTCAATGCTGCTGTGGTAGGCACCGCGTTACAGAAAGCTTTAGACAGCCCCGCGGACTTCTACCTCACCCTCCCTACTCCCCGCTCCGGGCGCCCACTCTGCTGCCCAGCGTCACCTGGGACGTCTGAGGATCCGTCCAAGCGCGGAGCCGCTGTTGCGGCGCGCCGCGAACTAGCCCAGGCCCGGCCGCGGCGACGGCCCCGGCCCCGGCCCCGGCCCCGGCGGAGCAGTTCAGCCACCTCCGCGTGGCCTCTTCCAGACGGCGGCCCTTCCACCGCGGGGCCTCGGGCCGCCTGCTCCCCAGTCTCCCCGGGTTCAGCAAATGTCTCCTGGGCGCCGTCGCTGTCACTAGAGTCGGCTCGGCGCGGCCGGAACGTTCTTTTCGGCCTGTGAGCCATGGCCGAGGACCCAGCGCCCCGCGCAGCTTCCGCTTCCCGCCGGCTAACCCCGCCCCTCTAGGGCAAGTACCCAGGCAGACGCTCCTGCCTTTCCACTGCTTGCTTGCATGGGACCCGCCCAGCTTAGACGTCAGCTTCGCCCTTCGCATGCGTGCTTTGCTTCTTTCGATCTGCTTGAGAGTTGGGGTTCCAGGGATGTAGAGCATTGTCTCTGCTTTGCAAGGTGAGCTTGAGTAGATGGTCGCTGAGAAATTCTCGCAGACTGCCGTGGAGAGCAGCGCTCACAGGCTTCCTTGTACGCACGCTTTCGAGGAATCAGGCATTATGCCCACGTCCTGGACTGGGACTGGATCTGCTCTACTTTCTAGAGAGAGTGAAGTTCTCTCTCCAAACAAGAATTAAAACAAAGGAGAAATGAACCATTTCTTGTCGTATCAATAAACAAGGATGTCACAGTAATCAATGATTCCAGCTCTCCAGGGCAATTGGGAAGGAAATAATACCTGTGATCCGGCTTTAGCTGCTCTTTAGTGAGTACTCAACATTCAGAAAACTAATATCATGGCATCTGGTCCCATCACTTCGTGGCAAATAAATGGGGAAACAGTGACATACTTTATTTTTGGCGGCTCCAAAATCACTGCAAATGCTAAGTACAGCCATGAAATTAAAAGACACTTGCTCCTTGGAAGAAAACCTATGACCAACCTAGAGAGCATATTAAAAAGCAGAAACATTCCTTTATCAGCAAAGGTCCGTCTAGTCAAAGCTGTGGTTTTTCCAATAGTCATGTATGGATGTGAGAGTTGAATTATAAAGAAAACTGAGAGTCGAAGAATTGATGCTTTTGAACTGTGGTGTTGGAGAAGACTCTTGAGAGTCCCTTGAACTGAAACTGAAACAGTGAGTACTGAGGAAAGCAGGATACTGGCCTGAGATAGCTGAGATGCAAATGAAAGGAATTATTTCAGTGAGCCCAAACTCTTGCATTTTCCCACACATAGAAAAATGCTAAATTCCTTAACTTGAGATATCTGGTTTTCTTTAATTCACAAAAATACTTTTGAGGTTAAGACTACCTGCCCTTTGTTGCATTCAGTTCAGTTCAGTTGCTCAGCCATGTCCGACTCCTTGTGACCCCATGGACCATAGCATGCCAGGCTTCCCTGTCCATCACCAACTCCCAGAGCTTGCTCAAAATCATGTCCATCAAGTCGGTGATGCCATCCAACCATCTCATCCTCTGACGTCACTTTCTCCTCCTGCCTTCAATCTTTCCCAGCATTAGGGTATTTTCTAATAGGTCAGCTCTTCACATCAGGTGGGCAAGGCATTGGAACTTCAAGCATCAGTCCTTTCAATGAATATTCAGGACTGATTTCCTTGAGGATTGAATAGTTTGGTCTCCTTGCAGTCCAAGGGACTCTCAAGAGTCTTCTCCAACAACACAGGTGAAAAGCGTCAATTTTTCAGCACTCAGCTTTCTTTATGGTCCAACTCTCACATCCACACATGACTACTGGAAAAACCACAGCTTTGACTAGACAGACCTTTGTTGACAAAGTAATATCTTTTTTAATATGCTCTCTAGGTTTGTCATAGCCTTTCTTCCAAGGAGCAAGTGTCTTTAATTTCATGGCTGCAGTCACCATCTGCAGTGATTTTAGAGCCCAAGAAAATAAAGTCTCTCACTGTTTCCATTGTTTCCCCATCTATTTGCCATGAAGAGATGGGACCAGATGCCATGATCTTTGTTTTTTGAATGTTGAGTTTGTCAGCTTTTTCACTCTCCTTTTTCACTTTCATCAAGAGGCTCTTTAGTTCCTCTTTGCTTTCTGCCATAAGGGTGGTGTCATCTGCATATCTGAGGTTATTGATATTTCTCCCAGCAATCTTGATTCCAGCTTGTGCTTCATCCAGCCCAGTGTTTCGCATGATGTACTCTGAGTACAAGTTAAATAAACAGGATGACAATATATAGCCTTGACGTACTCCTTTGCCAATTTGGAACCAGTCCATTGTTGCATGTCAGTTTCTAACAGTTGCTTCTTGACCTGAATACAGATTTCTCAGGAGACAGGTAAAGTGGTCTAGTATTCCCGTCTCTTTAAGAATTTTTCCACAGTTTGTGTGATCCACACAGTCAAAGGCTTTAGCGTAGTCAATGAAGCACAGATAGATGTTTTTCCAGAATTCCCTTGCTTTTTCTATGATCCAATGGATGTTGACAGTTTGATCTCTGGTTCCTCTGCCTTTTCTAAATCCAGCTTGAAATCCAGCTTGAACATCTGGAAGTTCTTGGTTCACATACTGCTGATGCCTAGGCTAGGAGAATTTTGAGCATTACTTTGCTAGCATGTGAGATGAGTGCAATTGTGTGGCAGTTTGAACATTCTTTGGCATTGCTTTTCTTTGGGATTGGAATGAAAATGAAAACTGACCTTTTCCAGTCCTGTGGCCACTGCTGAGTTTTCCAAATTTTCTGGCATATTGATTGAAGCACTTTCATAGCATCGTCTTTTAGGATTTGAAATAGCTCAGCTGGAATTCCATCATCTGCACTAGTTTTGTCTATAGTGATGCTTCCTAAGGCCCTCTTGACTTCACATTTCAGGTTATCTGGCTCTAGGTGAGTGCACATCGTGGTTATCTGGGTCATTAAGATCTTTTTCATATAGTTCTTCTGTGTATTCTTGCCTCCTCTTCTTAATATCTTGGGCTTCTGTTAGGTCCATACTGTTTCTCTCTTTTATTGTGCCCATCTTTGTGTGAAATGTTCCCTTGGTATCTCTAATTTTCTTGAAGAGATCTTTAGTCTGTCCCATTCTATTGTTTTTCTCTGATCAATCATTCCTCATTGATCACCGAGGATCAATGCCAATCTGACTCCTTCCCCCACCTCCTTGGAGCAGTTCTTTTAGGGCTACTTGAGAACCTGTCTCTTGGGCTTGAAGTCCTAAAAATTCCCACCAAATAAAATGTAACTCTCAACCTCTAGGTTGTGACTATTTTCTTTAATTGACACAAACAGACAAAAAAAAAAAAAAACAGCAACAACAACCCAGGTATGGGTGTATCTGAGATTGTCTTTGAAAGCTAAGCAGTAAAATCTACACAGCAAAATCTGCACATAAATGATAGGTGCACAAATAAAAATCAAATGGTTGCTTCCAGGCATCAAAGCTTCAATCAAGCTGGTTAAGTACTTTGGTCCAGAAGAAAAAAATATGTATCAGAAAAAAATGGGGTTGTTGTTTAAAAAGAAGTGCAGAGATAAAGACAACCCCACAGAATTACCTATAGAAATAGATAAAGAGCAATGAGGGAACAAAAAGCCTTTCCAGATACCCATAATCATCACTACCTTATATCATTCGCTCTGTCTCATGAATACTAGGAATTTTTTTCCCCAAGAGAGCATGAATAATGCCACACTTCTTATTTGCCCGCACCATACCGACTCTTTGTGACCCCATGATCTATATGGTCCATGGAATTCTCCAGGCCAGAATACTGGAGTGGGTAGCTATTCCCTTCTCCAGGGCATCTTCCTGACCCAGGAATTGAACCCAGGTCTCCAACATTGCAGGCAGATTCTTTACCAGCTGAGCCACCAGGGAAGCCCAAGAATACTGGAATGGGTAGGCTATCCCTTCTCCAGTGGATCTTCCTGACCCAGGAGTTGAACCGGGGTCTCCTGCATTGCAGGTGGATACTTTACCAGCTGAGCTACCAGGGAAGCCCCTATTTACAATTCTAGCTTATTGTTTTTTTCTCACAAATTTTATTTGTAACAGCTTTATTGAGGTAGAATTGACACAATAAATTTCACATTTTTTAAGTGTCTACTTTAATGTTTTGCTATGAAATTGTCACCAAAATCAAGAGACTGAACATCTTCAGTACCCTCTGTTCTCTCTGTCTCTCATCCTTCCCCACATCCTCTCCATCCCCAGGCAGCCTCTGGTCTGCTGCCACTATAGATTAGTTTGCATTTTCTAGATATTTATGTAAATGCAGTTTTACCGTATGTACTCTTTTGTCTTTTTTTCACTCAACGTAGTTCTTTTGAGATTCATCTATGCTTTCACGCATCAGTTATTCATTTCTTTTCATTGCAAAGTATTTTTCCATTGTGTGTATGTATTGTTGCTATGTTGTTTAGTTGCTAAGTTGTGTTCAACTCTTTGCAACCCCATGGACTGCAGCACACCAAACTTCCCTGTCCTTGACTATCTCCCAGAGTTTGCTCAGACTCATGTCCATTGAGTTGGTGATGCCATTCAACCATCTCATCCTCTGTCTTCCCCTTATCCTCCTGCCCTCAATCTTTCCCGGCAACAGGGTCTTTTCCAGTGAGTCAGCTCATCTCATCAGGTGGCCAAAGTATTGGAGCTCCAGCTTCAACATCCGTCCTTCTAGTGAAGATTCAGGGTTGATTTCCTTTAGGATTGACTGAGTCCAAGGAACTCTCAAGAGTCTTCTCCAGCACAATTCAAAACATCAATTCCTCAGTGCTCAGCATTCTTTATGGTCCAACTCTCACATCCTGCCTGACTACTGGAAAAGCCAGTATGTATGTGTAAAGTGTGTTTATTCATTTATTTGTTGATGAATATCTGGGGGATTCTGTTTGTTTACTGTTACACACGAAACTGCTATGAACACCTGTGCACTAGTCTATGTGCTCAGCTGCTTCAGTCCTGTCTCGCTTCATGCGACCCCACTCCAGTATTCTTGGGCTTCCCTTGTGGCCCAGCTGGTAAAGAATCTGCCTTCAATGTGGGAGACCTGGGTTGGATCCCTGGGTCAGGAAGATCCCCTGGAGAAGGGAATAGCTTCTGGTTTAAAGAGCAATAATAAGACAGAGATTCGCTTAGTCATGTCTGACTCTTTGTAACCCCACACACTCTAGCCTGCCAGGCTCCTCTCTTCATGGGATTCTCCACCCAAGAATACTGGAGTGGGTTGCCATTTCCTTCTCCAGGAGAATACTAATTTGTTAAGTTAATAAA